TCAAGAAAGCTTCAAAAACAGAGATGCCCAGGCCTCAGCCCAGGCCTACTGTGGCATAGGAGGCTGGAGTCTATATTCTTGATAACTCCCCGGATGAGTCCAATACCAAGCCATGTTTGGGAACCACAGGTCAGTATTCATATGCTTATGTTTATTTGATCCACTGCTTTGTTCCAGAGTGGACTGGGGTGGGCGTGAGGGTGGAGTGTACCCATGGGAGCATATTCCTGCATGTTTCTGTAACTCAGAAGAAGGAGATGCAGTTTCATGTGGACCCAACAGACAGGCTTGGTGTAGCTCTTGAAATACCCTGAACACCTAGCTATGAGAAATCTTCAGCCTTCAGGTTCCTTTGGCCTCTGAGTTTCTGCTGACTGTAGGAGTTGCAGAAGGGCCGGTGAGGGTGAGGGCTCACGAAGTCACAGATGCTTAGGCCATAGGCTATTCACAGATCCAGGATGGCTGAAGCATGGCACATATGCTGCCACGCTTCACTCCCCTGCAGGGCAGACATTGCTAATCAATCATCGTTTCCTGCTGCACCTAGAGAGGCCTTAGGATCCTAGCAATCAGAGCCGGTACGAGGAACGAAACCTTTTACCCTCCTTGCCATTTCTACCAACAACATCCTAGTCTAATCCTCAATTTTGTTGAGCATTTTAAGTTGCGGTTATTCACGGGGCACGGTTCCAAAAACGGTGGTGAGCCATTCTCTCTTCTTCCTCTACTCCCTTTCCCTAGGTGAACCCCACCATGCCCTTGACCTTACCTACCATCTATGAACTGGTAACTCCCAACTTTATGTTTTCTCCCTAGAATTCTTCTTAAAGAGACTCCGAGGCCAAGAAAGCTTAGAGGTTGGGTCTGAACTCCAGTAGGTAGATAAAAAATGTCCCTGAATGAACAGCTCCTTGAGGGCTGTACTGTTTATTTCTCTGTGGATTTCCGCCTACATTTGACACAGTGTCTTATATACCAGTAGATACTCAATAACTGACTATCAATTGTATTTGATGCATCTCCCTGTTTCCATGTGTAATGATGCTATGGTTTTCTCCGCCCTTCTTGCATTTTCAGAGCGCATCCTCCTGTAATGCTGGCTGCCCCATTCCTTACCCCTCCCAGGCTGGATGGTGTGTGGTAGTCTGTTACCTTGGTGGCTCCCCAATGAACCATGCCTCCTGGTGTTTCGACCCTTGTGTTATCGTCTCTCTTGGAATCTGGTATGCACCTCTGATTTGCCTTAACCACCAGAATGTGATGAAATTGTACTATGCCAGTTCCACTATGGCATAAACCTCAGGAATCTGGTGTAGGATGGTGCGTGTGTGTGTGTGTATGTGTATGTGTGTGTGTGTGAGAGAGAGAGAGAAAATCAGAGAGAAAGATGGAGAGACTCAAAAAGAAATTTTCCTGGAGCTAAAATGCAGATGTTTTTTTTAAAAGTCAGGTTTTAAAAAAAACTATTATCTCCCTTCTTGTTTATCACTCTTATCTCAGGAGCTTACCAATCTCTATATTTAGGGTTTGGTGAACTAGAGAAAGGGGGTGGCTTCCTCTCATGGCCTGCCTAAAGTTTGCTGACGTCAAACTTCTGTCCAGCCCAGGCCAAGCATCAGACAGAGCTGGGGCTCCAGGTGCAAACTGAAAATGAGCCATTCCCATCCATTCTTCTGTAAGTAATAGAAATGAAAAATATAAGTGGAAACCATCAGGGAAAACTTATCCCTCAGGGGCGACGCTCCAGTTCCCACTGCACGGCAGGGAAAGCAGGAAGCACGGAGTGACTGGTCTTCGCCACGGGAACATCAGGCTGCGTCTTAGCTTTGAGCTGGACACACACACTTACTGCTGTGGTTCACAGGTGCACGTGGAGATTTCTTTTGCCTCGGTGGGTTCTCCCCAGTGGCCAAACTCCAGGATAGTAACTGAGCTACAGCGACTCTTTTTTCACGCCCAAAAAATCTTAAGATAACACCCGATTAGCAGGCAGGGGCAAGAAGGTAGAGCTTTTATTTGCAGGACATTTGGAAAGAGACAGGATGTTGAAGGCAGGAGTCAATGTTTCCCAAGGTTCTTTCTTAAAGCACATCGTGTTTGGCCTCAGGGTTGCTGACTCACCCAGCGCTGCCCCGGCCGGGCATTCCATCACGGGGCTACTATATTCCCAAGAGATCCTGGGACACTGGCTCACTCCCCAACTACAGTATCCACAGAAACATCTGCTTTAACTTATTAGAAAGTTAAAACAACCAAGTGTCAACCCCTGTCTTTTCCACCTAAGGACACATTCCTCTTGGCTGACGCACACTCTGTGAGTGTGTCTGTGAACTGATTTTAATGATGATTTGAAGAGCCTCTTACATCCTAGTTTATTTAACCTTCTCACACGAATAGCACGGCTTCTCTGTGGGGAATCACGGAATGACTACTGACTCACTAGATATGCAACGAGCCCTGGAAACAGGAAGGAAAAAACCAGCTCTCAAAGCCAAATTCATTCCCTTCTCTTGTCAGCCACAGGTAATTGTAGAAAGCAGTCTGGCCTTGGAGTCAGCAGACTCAGGGTCAATTTGCAGTCCTGTCGGAAGCTGCGGGACCTGGGACAGGTTCCTTGGTTTCTCAGAGCCTCAGATTCCTCTTCTACAAAATGGGAATAATAAAACCTACCCTGCCAGCCACGCAGGGATCTTAAGAGGTCTGAAGGGAACACTGGGGCAAGGGGGCATCTTAAAGGACAACTGACGCTTACGTCTTCTCCTGTGACAGTGGCTTCCCCCAGAAGCCACTCAACCTGAGCTTGAACTTGTTCTCACAGGGTCCCCTGCACTGTGGGATAGCTTGGATTTACTTTGAGTGGAAAGCCTCCTTCTTCAGCATTCTATCAATGGGTTCTTCTCCGGCTGGGTATACAGAAACAAGTCCAGTCCCTCCTCTGGAAGAACAGCTTTCAGACTTCTGGAGGGAGGACCACATCCCCGGTACCCACAGAGCAGTCCCTATGTCTTCTCCCCACTAGGCTGAGCCTTTGGCTCCTGTCACTGCCGTGGCTATGGTTCTCCAAAGGCACTTTAGGTAATTTACCAGTCTCAAAGTATCTTGTCTGGAACTGAATGTCATATTCAGGATGATCTAAAAGGGGGAGAATTAAGCAGGACAGTCACCTCTCGTGTTCTAGATGATACGCCTCTGTTCACGTAGCCGACCCTCAAATTGGCTGTTTTGGTGGTCACGTCTCAATAGCAGCCCTTCCTTCACAGTCTCAGCTTCCAACCCCTGACTTTCTGCTTTCCTCTTTTCTTTCCAGCTTATTCCCTCTGGTACCCAACTCAATAATTCTCAGGCCTCACCAGGACCTACTGTCCATTGCTCATACCACTGTTCCTCACCCCTCCTCTCCAGCAGGGCCTTAGCTGTCCCTTCTCACCCGGCCTAGGCCTCATGGTGCCTCATTATAATCATCCCCTTGAATACACTCTCAACTCCTTTCTCTCTCTTTTTCTCTCTTGCCTGGCAAAATCCCAACCCTGATTAAATCCTACTCTCTGTCTCTTCCTGCCCTGCACCCAGCCAGTGGAAACTGGCTAGAGAATATCACAGAAAAGGTTTAATTGACCTAAGTTAAATTCATGATCAGTAACCTCCAGGAAGCCAGCAACCAGCCTCTAGTTCCCTAGTTTGGACATGCCAGTTCTTACCTCTTGCACCTTAAACCTCCACAACCTCTGTCCCCATCCTCGCCCTCAGCAGATGACCTTGTCCTCCAAGGGGGTTCTGACGCACACCCCCTCAACATCTACCCACCTGCCGGCATCTGTGCCTAGAGCGCGGCCTTCCCTCTGTGTGGATGGGCTCTGTGCTCCCACCTAAGACGAAGCTCCCAGGTGTGCACTGGACTCTTGGCCACTTGCTTATCAGCATGCCTACCTCCACACCCCACACTCCATTACCAATTTCATCCTTCCTCTAGGACCATCCCCATCCCATATAACTTCAGTGTTACTTTCCCTCATCCTAACAAATGAAAACAAAAAACACAACAACGATCAAATGCTTTCTTCTTATCCCCAGATAAGGAATCCAGATAAGGAGACTTTAAAGTTTAGTAACCTGCCCAAGGTCAATGACCTGGAATTGTGGGGCTGGTTTGCCCACCCCCAAAGCCCACCCAGATGAGGCTTCCTGGGCTGCAGAGGCCACAGCAGCTCTCTCTCCGGCCCACTGCTCTGGTTCAAGTGGCTGAACTCAGACAAGGAAGTACTTTGCCAAGGACGTCCAGACCAGCTCTGCCTACCTGGGCACTCTTGGAACAGCAAGAAAGGCTGGAGGTTTTCAAGCGAGAAGGGGACCTGCTGGGTCTGCAGAGGCCTGCTGAGCTGCTGAGACAGTTTTGACTGACTTCCCTGTCAGACGCAGCGTGGGAGAGCGGGGGGCTGTTTTGAGAACAGCCAGCATGTCACCCCAGCCTCAGCGGGGGAAGCGGGGGGCAATGATGGCAAACAGATGGGGCAGGCCAGGGCGGCGGGAGCTGTCAGTGTGGTGCACCCCCGTGCAGAGACGACAACTCGTAAATCTCGCAGGCCCAGCCCGTGTGGCCTGCGGTGGTGGCCCATTGATGCTGCCTGGTCCTTGGAGCTGGAAAATGACAACTAAGGTGGCCAGCTGCCTTCCAAGCCATTCCGTCAGAAGGGCACACTTCTCTCCCCTGCTGCTAACAGCATCCCTATTCCTGCCAGGAACCCAGAAGAACTCGGCCCAGGGGGTTTTCCTCCGGGACAGCAGATACTTAACTAGCCATCATCCCCTCCCCTCCCTTCTCTGCTCCCAAAGACTCTCCCAGAGAACGAGCCCATTTGGCTTTGAGATTTCCGAGTATACGGCGTCAAGTTGGAATTTTTGGACCATCCGGAAAAGCATGCATCTCTGCCAAAACCCATGTTGACTTAGTCATGCTATCTCTTAACAGTCCTCTTTCACAAGGGACAGGCTCACACACTTACTTGTCCGTCACGGCCTGCATGAACTCGTCCAGAAGGTCGTCGTACTCCTGCCCACGCACACGCCGGTGCTTCAGGCCAATGTACAGAGGGTCCCTGAGCAGCTCCTGCAACAGACAGCATCCGTCCCATTAAGTGTCCTGGGTTAGCGGGAAGGAGGGGGGGAGGGGGGAGGGAGGAGGCTGCTCCCCACTCCCCAGGTGCTGTCTCTGGAAGGGTCTGGAAGCCAAGCCACTGATGGAGGGTAGACCCCCAGGGGTCCACACTTTAGGAATCAAGGATGCTTTGAACAAGCAAAACTCTCTGATACAGTCTTCCAACCTCTGGCTGCAGCTCTGGGTTCATTTCAGGGTTTCTCAACAGTGGTACTATGGACATTTTGGCCTGGACAGTTCTTTGACCCGTATATTGTATTGACAGAATACTTAGCAGTGTCTCTGGGTTCTTCCCACTTGAAGTCAGTAGCACCCCCAGTTGTGACAGTAAAAAAGATCTGTAGACTTTGCCAAATGTCTCCCTGGGGGATAAAATGGCCTGTGCCGAGAATCACCCCAGGCGACATCTGCATTGAGGTATTGGGTCTTGTCCAAAGTCACTGACCTGGACTTAAATTAGAAAACATTCCCTCCCTCCCTCCCTTCCTTCTGTGAAAGCTTACTGAATACCTACCACGTGCCTGGCATTGTGTTAGTCCCTGGGGATACAAGGATAGACTGATACAACCAGAACTTTCCATTCAAGAGAGAGGCCCACCTTAATGCCGGCCTGCGTTAGGTGACCCCTCCATTCCACCTCCTGCAGCTCTTCTGTCACAGCTTTCACACGCTGTTTGGTCATCCTCTCTGTCTGCCCTGGTCTGATGACCACTCCTGCCTCTCTGTACCCCTCACACGCACCCCTATGCAGAAATCAGCGGGCTCATTCGTGCACGACACATTTACTGACCCTGTACGCCTGCTGCCGTCAGGCCTGTCGGGGAATTTGTAGGTAAGGGATGGTCACTGCCTCTACGGTGCTCACGGCCTAATGCAGGTGGCTGACGAGTAAGTAAACTCTATTACAGATTAGAGACATTTCTTCGGCACAAAGCATGGCACCTGGCAGCACAGAGAAGGAGTGGAGTAATTCCCGCCGGGGAACGGGTGGGGATGGCGACACGGAAGAAATGGTCAGGCTTTACAAGATGGGCAGATGTTGCTCAGTGGGCTGGGCTCTCCAGGCTTAGAAATCGGCACAAAGAAAGGTTGGGGGCTGGAGGTAGAAGTACCTGGTGCCCTGGTGCGTTTAAGAAACAGGAAGTAATTTTATGTTTTTGGGTATTTGGAAAGTATCTATTTTTGTGTCTCCGCCGCCACAAAGATGAGCTCCTTGGGGTCAAGGTTTTGTGTTACCGTCATCTCCATCCGGACTGCTCCTGCAGGATTCAGAGGCAAGGATGTCATGGGTCCTGCCCTCAAGGGGCTCAGAGTCCTGTCTCACCTCCACCACTGACAAGCTGTGTGACCTCAGGCAAATTACGTGACCTCTCAGAGCCTTCCTCTCATCTGTCAAATGGGGATAGAATACCAGCTGCACAGGGTGATCGCGATGAGGAAGTGAAATAATACACGTGAAAGAGCTTTGGGAATCATAACGTGCTGTAAAGTAATGGCAGCAGCTTTGACTTTCACAGCGTTTGCTAATGTGTCAGGTACTGCTGAGGGAGGGGAAGCCACAGCGAGGTTAGTAAGCAGAAGAATCTGGATTCAAACTCACGGCTGCCAGCTCCAGAGCCCATGGTCTTAACCACCGAGCCAGGCTGCTTAGGTGGCTCATTCTCGCTTAGGACACCATTCTAGCTCCATATTGCCTTGTAGGAGGTGGCAGGGCAAAGGTACAGTGGACAGAAAAGACCAGGAAGTACCTGCCTTCTCAACCCCTCAACCCCAATTCTGGGTCCACAGAATCTGAGGTGGGTTTAGCGCTTTCTCCAAGGAGCCACACGGCTACATCGGAAAGACAGTAAGGTCTAAACTTCTTTTCTCAATCTCTTTGCATCCTTGAGATTGTTTAGGACCCTGCCGTGGCAGTTGTGTGTGCGTGTGAGCGTGTGTGTGTGACCAAAGGATGAGAGTGGGACATATATGGTGCCTACCCTTCCACAGGCCACTTTCAAAGTGATCATCTAAAAGTCATTTAGAGGCAGCAAACATCCAGCCAAGGGGGATCAAGGAAGTAAATGATGATGTAACACCTAGATGGACAACTAGGCAGTCATTGAAACTGGTGGCTTTTAAGACTATGCAGCCACCTGGACAAATGTGTATGAGATTATTCAAAATGAAAAAAGCAGCATACAAAATTGCACAGATATCACAATTTCAACTGTCTGACACATACGAACAGCCTGCAAAGGGCATACACATAAATGATAAAAACAGTCTAACTCTTGGCATTTGCAGAAAATATTCACTTTTTAGTTCTTATAGAGGTGAAAGGGTCCACGGTAAATTATAATCTGTAATGTTTCCAAGTCACAGATTGGTTCAGTAGTGCGTTAGGCTGCCAAGAGTGGATTTCTCAGTGCTGCATACACGGTTTCTGGGGCAGGTCCAATTCTCCAGTGGTACTGAAGAATTTTAGGATTTTCCAAAAATTTCTCAGTATATCTGCACTTAAGGTGAAAGGTCAACACTAATGAGGTACTACTGAGATATAAAGGTGACCATAAGAAGCTTTAAAAAAAAGTCCTGATATTTTATAATATTTATTTTATTTATAATAAAATGTTTTATGTCTGAAATACTTCAAAACTAAGCACTCCAAAAAATTGGGAAGAAAGTTTCTATATGGAGGTGACACGAAAATATAGCTTCTCATACTTGTACAGAACTTTCAGGTAATTCACTCCTTCTGAATCAAAAGTAGTTTGATCCTTCTGTCTTACATACTCTCATGCCCATTTTACAGATGAGGAAGGTAGAGTTGTTCAAGGGTTTAAATAAATTGCCCAAACTCACGCAGCCAGAAAATATCTAAGCTGAAACTGAGCCTTGCTTTGACTGGGTCTCATGACAGCGCCCTTTCCACCCCATCATTTGACATTGTGGGGACCAGGGAATGTGGGTTTGGCTCCTGACCCCCTCCCTGGTCCTCCTGGAAGAGTCCAGTAGTGGCTGGAAGTTCCAGCTGGTCCTGTAGACCAGGCTGGGGAGCAGTGACAGCCTGAATGGGGTCTGGGGAAAGACCATGTCCACATCTCCAGCCAACTGGCTTTCCTTTGTCAGGAGGGAAAATGACTTCTCAAAAACAGCAGAGGGTGGAGCTTCCACACTGTCTTGGTACCACATGGAACAAGAAATCCACATTCTTCCCTGTGTCCCACCGAGTGATTGGTTATAAGAATGACTGCCACCAAGGCGTGGGACTATGAACTGGCCTGGACCCTCCCCTGGCAACTCTTCTCTATCCTGGACTTCCTCACATAAATGTTAAAAAGAGAAGTTTTCAGAAGGCAGTATTGCCAGATAAAATACAGGACACCCAGTTAAATGTGAATTTCAGATAGGAGATATATATATATATATATATATAGATAGATAGATAGATAGATAGGTAGATAGATAGATATAGATATAGATATATACATATATATATTTAGTATAAATATGTCCCAAGTTTTGCATGGAACATACTTACGTTAAAAAATGATTAGCTATTTATCCAAAATTTAAATTTAACTTGCATCCTGTATTTTTCTTTGCTAAATCTGGTAACCCCATCAAGAGAGGCAGAAGGAACCTTGAAGCTGGCAGGCAGTGTGCCGCAGAGGAAAGGGCATTGCCAGGCCCAGTGGCCCTGGTCAGATGCTCTCCCGGAGCACCCTCAGGACAGTGTGCTTTTAGAATCAGAAGGGGCTCTGGGCTTTGGAATCGGACACACCTGGGTTTGAATTCAGGCTCTGCCACTTAACTAGCTCTGCGACTTTGGGTACTTGTCCCTGCTTCATTTTACTTCTCTGTCCAATAGGGATAGTAATGATCTCTACTGCAGAATGCAAGCTCTTTGAGGAAAGCGTCCTTATTCATGTGCATCTCCCTAGTGACGTTTACAGTGCCGGCGCATCGCAGGCCATTAAAAAGTGTTTACTGATGTGAGTTGCATTTATTCTAGGACCGGGCTAAGGAGATGCTGAATTAAGAACAAGGAAAGTCTTAGAAATCACGTGGTTCGGCTTCCTCCAAATGAGTTTTGGGGACCCAGAAAGGTTAAATGAACTGCCTAAGGTCACAAAACGAATTTGGTGGAAGCAGCTTCTAGAGCAGGGGTCTTCCCAGGTGGGATCAGCTTCCTCACCTCTGAGCCTGCTGCTTCCCCTCTGCTAGGTAGTTGCCAAGCTCCCGTTGGCACTAAGTAAGCCTTCAGGTTAAGGCTCTATCCAAAGCAAATGAACCAGAGCTTCCTCCTCTGCTGTGGGAGTTGAATAGACCCTCCGTGGCTGTGTGCCTGGCTCTTTCTAAGGTGAAAAATCTTGCAGACTAAACGTCATGGAAAGCAAAATGGCTGGCTCGTCTTCACTTGCCACAGCATTGAGCACTGGGTTTAAGCTGGAAGAGAGACGAACCTCTTGGTCTGGAAAAATATTTATCTTGCAGAGCAACGGGCACGTGAAGATGTTACTCAGAGAGTATCTGGGGGTCTGGGGAGGTCATGGGATTGGGTTCACGGTGTGGACACGGTGCACTTTCCCCCTCTGGGTGACAATTATGCCCACCATGTACTTCTCTGGAAGCTCAGTTAAGCCCAAGGGTAAGCTACAAAGATCCTAGGAAGGGCCCCTTCACCGGTCACATGTGCACAGAGAGCCTGCGCCCGATGGCAACATGGGTGAATGCTGACTATTTATGAGCTGCAATAAAGACAATCTTGCCAGGTGGAAGGAACCCTTCCACACCCAGCTCTGTGGGCGATCCCACGCTGCTTCAGCAACCAGTAACACCCAAGGCACAGTCTACCAGGCTCTGTTGATGATCTGTCCCCTCCATCCCCCTCTTTAGTCATTTCCACAGAGAGTTTCACATCACCTCTTTGAGAGGAAAATCCATTGAGGCTCAAGACTTCTGCAACAGAAGCCAAGCCCTGGGTTGTCCCATAGAACCTTTAGCACAGAATGGGCCAAGCACTGGGCTTGGACTCAAACCTGGTGGAAGCCATTTCTGCCCTGGGGCCCCTTTTCCCATGTGAAACGAGGGGGTTGAGTGAGAAGTATTTATATATAATATCTAGGAAGTATGATATCTAATGTGAACAGTCTGTGACTCTGCTGTGTGTATATGAAACAAGATGTACAAACCAATCCACACACAGACACAAGGGAAGGAGGGCCTGAGCAGGTGCCCTGTCTAACTGGGCGGGGCTCCCTCCCCCTGGCCCTTTGGAACTTCATCACGGGATGTCCCTCCTTCCTGGGATCACGTCTCACATATTTATTTTTCCAAACCTCCTTGGTGTCGGCAGGTAAAAGTGACTCAGAGTTTCAGGGCTGTAGACAGCAGATGTTTTCCTTCAACAGGAAACCTGGAGGGGTGTTTTCTTTGACTCTGATTAAAGCTACTTTTGCCTCAGAAGTTTTTTATAGAGACATACACACAGATGGTCTAGTTGTTCTGAAACTAAAGCCTTCACAGCAGCAACCCTCCCTGCACTGCCACGTAAGACGGAAGCTGCAAGGCAGAGCCTCCCTCTCCTGTTGCTGTGTCTTGCTCTGGGTGAGAGATGTGCCCCCAGACTTCTAGGGGAAAAATCTTGCAAACTGATTATTTTTTAAAAAGAACTCTAGTGTGGAAGATCACATAGTCAATGCATTTGAAAAGACAGAAGTCATTGTCTTCCGTCTTCCCAATGTTGGCCTCTTTGTAACTTTCTTGAAGAAGGTCTGGCGGGAGTTCACCTTTCTTTGTGCGGGAGGGCTGTGAAAATGGCATCGGTGTGCCCTAGTTTGATCCTGAGTGTCCATGGAACACAGACTGTGTGAAACACCTACTTTCTCAGTCTTCATTACCCAGTCTGTGACACAAATACTTGACATCTTGGAGCAGTGTGCCACAGTAGACAAGGCCACTCTGGTGCCAGAGAGACCAGGGTTCAAATTCCAGCTCCAACACTTAGAGCTGTGTGACCTAAAGTAAGTAGTTAACGTGTGTCAATCTCGAGCTGTGTGACCTGAAGTAAGTAGTTAACGTGTGTCAATCTCAGTTCCCTCATCTGTAAAAAGGGGAGGACAATATCTCATACAGTTGGTGTGAGAACGAAATGAGATTGAGGGACTTCCCCGGTGGTCCAGTGGTAAAGAATCCATCTTCCAATGCAGGGGAGGCGGGTACGATCCCTGGTCGGGGAACTAAGATCCCACATGCCACGGGGCAACTAAGCCCACGTGCCACAACTAGAGAGAGAAAACACTCATGCCACAACTGGAGAGAAGCCCGAGCGCCACAACAAAGAGCCCATGCACCTCAACGATAAAGATCCCGCATGCCTGAACGAAGATCCTGCGTGCCCCAACTAAGACCCGACGCAGCAAAAAAAAAAAAAATTAAATAAATAAATAAAATAAAATAAATATTAAAAAAAAAGAGAGAGAGATTGAAATATATAAGGGCCCAGAACTATGCCTGGCCATTGCAGGTGCTGGCATAGGTCTTACTGGACGTGGTGAACACTGCTTTCTCTCTCGTCTGTGGTGTTGCATGGCAGCTCAGGCTGTGCCCTGTCCCCTCAGCTGGAGAATCCTCTGGTCCTTCCAAAACTCTCTCCCTTCCACACCCAGGAGGGAGAGCTGAGGCAGAGGCCAAAAGCCCCAGGGGGGAGAAGCAGACACTCTGAGGAGACGTAACACGTGAGCCATTAAAATGATCAGTTAGGTGACAGTGTTGAAACACTGACAACTAAAAGATTCCACCCACGCCTGGCTCTCATTTATCTCCCTCAGCCTAGCAGAATGCCTGACACCTACTAAACACTTCATAAACTTAAAAAAAAATAAGTAAAGAGAAAGTGCTCACAAAATAATCTTCATTGAAGAAATCAGAACAAAATTAGGGGTACAGTATGATTCATTAGGTAATACTGTATCTACAGCTACGTATACGCACAGAGAAACATCGGACAGGAGCACAGCTGTAGCATAGTGGGAGAAACGCCATTTCCTTCTCCTTTTAAAATTCTGACTAATGTTTTAAAGTTACTTTAGTAATAAAAATTCTAAAAGTCAAGACATAATCTTTACTCATAAAGCAACAAAAACCCGGGCAGGCAGTGCGGTATGGTGTGGGGAGAGGAGCGCTCATGTGGATTAGGACCCACTCCTGCCACTTCCAGCAGATCTTCTTGGGCCAATTAATCTCTCTGGGCCTCAGTTTCCTCAGCTGTAAAAAGAGGGTAATAACTGAGCTCCACTCACAGGGTTATTGTCAGGCTGAAACAGGGTGGTCTGTGAAAAGGGCCTGGCCCTGATTACTCATAGTTTCTCACCATCTTTTCTGGTGGGTTTGCTACAAGTTGGCACTAACTCTAAACTTTAGCACATCATTGCTGAGTGCTGGACCTTCAGTGATAAAGGATCTAAGGCATCTGCTAGAGGAAACCAACACCCTTCCAAGGGGTGCAATGGCCTAAGAATCAGTCTCAAGCCGTTCCACTTCTTGCCTAGAGCCAGCTTTTTGGAGAGAGAGAGAGAGAGAGAGAGAGAGAGAGAGAGAGATGGTCTCAAACAAATCCAGTTGGAACATGGCAGGAGGTGATGGATGGGAATAATAACTAACACAAAGTTTGCTATACTCATCCACGTTTGTGCGGTTCCACACATGTCCTTGTGGCTGAGGGACAATTTCAGCAAAACCCAGGCGTGTGGCTGGGGAGGGGAACCACAGTGCAGAGCAGACCTTGAAGATGGGTCTTAATGAGCAGCTATAAGGCTGTGCCACCATGCAGCCTCCCTTCTCCTAGGCTGGTGGGGAGGCATATAGAGAAGAGATTTAGCGGTGGGAGAATACCTAGTAACTTTCTGGTCCAGGCCCTAATTGTACCAGAAGGGGATGGTATCTAGACAGGTACAGGGACTCACCCGGCTGTCAGGGGTACCGGGACCAGGGTCCCTGCTTGCCGGGCCAGCACTTTGCGTGCTCTTCTTGTCCTCCCTCCTCCCCCTCCCACCCCCGTGAGTTCTCAGCTCTGAAGCCAGGTCTGTCTGCTGCTCCTTCATTTGACCGTATCTGTGGATGAAGCCTGAATAAGCATCACTTCTCATTAGAGGCTACAGTGCTTGTTCTTGTTTAGAAATGAGGATGTTGTGTGGCATCCAGGGAGGAAGGAGGCCATGCAGAGTCACAACAAGTTTTCTAGAGAAAGATCAACTCAGAATGCAAATAAGTATAAGCTTTTTGACAATATGAATCGAGAATCTAAAGAATGACCATTCCCTTTGCTTCAATATTTCCTTTTCTAGGAATTTATCCTTGGGAAATCATCAGAGATGGAAAGACTGATCTGCAAAAACGGGTATCACAGCACAATTATATTTGCAAGAAGACTAGAAACAACCTAAATGTCCAAGAGTGGAGGGTTTCTTACGTGAATTGTGATACACCAGGCAGCTATGAAAACGACCTTGTGGAATAATGGCTAGTGACCTGGGAGAAAACTCATGACATACATTACACTTAAAAAAGCAGGATACAAAACTGTATATGCAATATAAACTTAATTTTGTTTTTAATAAACGTTTCAGAGGGATAAGGCTGGAAAGAAATATCCCAAATTGTAAACAATGATTATTACTGGCTGTGTGACTAATATTTTATTTTTAATACTTCTCTGGAGTTTTCTCAATGAACATGAGAAAACGTTTTTCTCAGATGGACATGCACTGATTTTAAACCCAGAGATAAATATCACCAAGAAGAAATTCTTTTATGTTCATGATACAGAGACACAGAGCTGAGAACTGCAGACATGCACAAACACCATGACACAGCGTGGTGGTACCCAGAGCAAACTCTTGGCTGGGGTTTGAGCTCCTTAAATCCTAAACCTCCTGGAAGCCTGCAGGTGGCTCTCAGCCACAGCTCGGGTCAGTTTCTCTCCCTGGGTTTGCAGGATTGCTCATCTGCCTGATCCAGACATTTCAGCCCTTGGCCATGGTGCTTTGAGTTTTAATCCTTTTACAGGGGTAGCTGGCCTCTAAAATGCTGAAAAAACACAGCCCAGCAGCCACTCTCGCCTCAGCGGCTTTCTTCACTAACGGATCAGAGAGAGGCCATGAGGGCAATGGAAGCTGCCTAGGGACACGGGACAAGGAAGCACAGAAAGCCCGCGCAGGGGGTACCTTGGCAGGAGGTAGGGGAGCAAGAAGACCCAGCAGTGGCTGGGGGGGAGAGGATGGGACTGGGAGAGTGGGATGGGCAACCAGGGAGGAGAGAGGTCCTGGCATCACAGCCATGTAGGGGAGGTGTCCTGGCAGCGGTGACCCCAGAATGAAATGGCCTGATGCTCTGTAAACAGAACCACCACACAGAGGTGCTCCCCACGCCATCCCAGCGGCCACCCTCTGGCTCCCGGCCCAGGCAGCGCGTTACCTCGTTGTTGGTGCCCACATCCAGCAGGACAGGGAGGCACTGCTGCGGGTTGACGCCTCCGCACGCTGTGTACAGGGCCAGCTTGCCCACGGGGATGCCCATGCCATAGCAGCCCAGGTCTCCCAGGCCCAGGATGCGCTCCCCATCAGTCACCACCACAGCCTGAAAGACAAAGCAGGACGCCATCAATCAGGGACAGCACCTCCTGTGACAAAGTGCTCGTTTGTACAGCTCGTCAGGCCTGTCGACTGGACGCCCACCGCCTCTGCTGCGGGATGAAACAGCTTGCCTGGGATAAGGTCAAAGGATGCTTTCAACTGCAGGTGGCGGGCCCTTCCCCCATCCCCTCCCCTTTCTGGCAGGGCTGGAGAGAAACCCCGCCGAGGTGAGATGATCGAAAGACACCGGTCTGCATTCCGAGGTTCTGTTCCTGCAGGAAGAGCTGGAGGGAACCCACACCGAGTCATTCTCCCTCAAAGAAATTAAGCAGACTCTCTCAGCTTGAGCTCTGGGGCTGGGGACAGGGAGGGAAGGCAGAATGAAAGGAGATAATAAAACAAGTGTTTATGCTGCTACTACAGCCCCGGGGTTTAGAGACCCATATATGTGCTCTCCCCCCTGTTCCGGGGTATAATAAATCCAATCTGCAAAAACCAGAGCTCCTTGTGACATCTGCTAGGGTCACTATTTCACGGGAAACCAGGAGGGTTCTCAAGCTGCACTGGGATTATCTTTGTGTTTTGGCAAAAAATCACAGAAGGCGTAGTAGGTACTAGACATAGTACTAGCCCCAGGCTCACCTACTGTGAATTAACAGACGCTGATGGAGCTGACAGTGATGACAGAAGTAATCACATGGTAGCGACGGCTATTCACTCCCTCATTCATTCATTTAATACATCTTTATGAAACGCCTGCTTTGCAGAAGACAGTGTGCCAAATCCTGGGGGAAGGAGGTTCAGTTTGCTCATCTATAAAAACAAGAATGCGTGGACCCAGCCCTCTAAAGGACTGATGGGCAAAAGAGAGATGGAACATGTATAGTTATACTGACTCCGGGGGGAAAGTGTGAGGGCAGCGGAACGGCTCAAGGGCAGCAGAGACCGAGAGAAGGGAGAGGTACTTCCTGTAGGCTAACCTTTCTTAGGTGAGGGGACACACGTGCCACATCTTGGACAGGTGGAGATTATCCATCAGGGGTACAGCTGGGGAGAAAGGTATTTGATGCAAAAGGAAATTAAGGTTCAGGGTAGAAGTGGGGGGGATGTAGGCTGTGTGTGTGGTTTCAGGTCCCACGAAAGGAGAGAATGGAAAGTCAGACTGCAAGGGGCCCTGAATGTCAATCCAAGAAGAACCCACCAGGGTGACAGTGAAGTTGTTTATAGGTCACCTCAATTGGCTCTCCAGCACTGGTTCCCTCCATCCCTAAATGAGTGGAGTTTATGGGGCCACCCAGCCCTCCACTGGAACCAGCTTTGGGTCAGGACTTAGGACCAGCTCTGAGCTGTGGCTGTCCTGGTTGGCCCCAAGCGTGGTGCCGTGGGCACCGTAGAGGTCAGTTTACTCCACGCAGGTACAGTGGTGGGCTGGGCACTGGCGATAAAGAGACGAAGACCCACTCCTACTGGGGAGGGTTTATGATCCAGCACCCACAGGCTCCGTGGAATCTTCTCTCTCCCAGGGTGAGAGCACACAGGGCTGTGCTGCCTTTTGGTAGAAACAGGTGTAGAGACTCGTAAAGCCACACCTCCACTGCTGGAAAGGGGCTCTGGAGAGCGCAGTGGCCCCATGAAGGTCGTGCTGTCCCCCTTAGATTGGTCTCCTGCCTCCAGGGTGAGTGTCCCCGTCCTGCATCTCACTTGCTCCTCCCCCGCCCTGGCAGGGAGGCCCGTCTGGGATAGTTATCTGTGTTTCACAGGTGAGCAAACTGAAGCTCCTGGACCTTCATGCTCTGTACATATTTGTTAAGTATCAGCCAACCGCCAGGCACTGTGCTGGATGTTTCCACATCAGTTATCTTAGAAATATTAGATAACTTACCAAGGGCACCTTGCTTGTGTATGTGGCAAGTCGAGATTCTAATCAGGCTTCGGGTACCTGGTTCAGGGCTCTTTCTACAACACGGCTGGGCTGGGAAAAAGCACCTGTGCTCTTGGCAAAGTCCTGTCCCGCCTTGGTGCCACCCTCTCCGCAGCCTCTGACCCCCTGCTGGCAGCTCTCCCCAGTGAAGCCTGTGCCTTCACGTTACCCCTGAGTGCCCAAACTCTGGGCATTTCTCTACCATCTCTCCTAATCAAAGCCTTCCTATTCTGGTTCCCATTCTCTTAGATTTCTCTCTGCTGAGGGGCAGTGAGTGACACAGAGTTCAACAGAGGAAATCAGCTACGACTCCAGGGTGTTCTCCTTATAACTCTGGGGCCTTTCAAGATGGTAGCGGGGGGACTTCCCTGGCAGTTTGGTGGTTAAGACTCCACGCTCCCAATGCAGGGGGCATGGGCTCGACTCCTGGCTGGGGAACTAAGATCCCGCCTGCCGTGCAGTATGGCCAAAAAACAAAAAAAAAAAAGATGGTAGCGGGGCTCTGCAGGGCCACCCTCCCAGCCTGGGGATGTCCAAAGGTGCTTGACTACATGCCTGACTCCTCCGAGGGAATGTCTCACCTCCATCTGTCATCCACTCTCCATCCTGTAGTGCTAAATGGCTGCGTTATTGCAACAGCTTCACAACCAGGCTCAAAGGCCTTTAGTTACTTCTGTCCATAAAATAGAGTCCAAAAGGCTTATCTCTTTAATGACAGGAACCCAGCTCTACACACAACTGCCCCTCTAGCAGAACTGGCCTTACTCCCATCAGACACACTCTGAATTCACCCATAATCTCTAGCCTCTCAGCCTCTATATTCCTGTCACTTCTGCTCTTTCTCCAGCAGTGCAAATCCTGCCCGTTACAACCCAACGTGATTTCTCCTGGCACTGGCTGTATCTACCACGCACCTGGCCTGCTCAACCTTCCTGTCTGCCTGCCTGCCTTCTGCAGACATTTATTAAGTACCTACTGCTTGCCAAGCCCTGCATAGGTGCGATTTAAAAATCTGATGGTGACAGCATTTGGGTTCTTATTTAACATTTTTTAAAAATGTCCATTTAATCTCACCAAATAGCCTAAAGGTTAATGGCAGGGGTTTGGGCGTCTGATAACCAGTATTCGGATCTAGGTTCCTTGATAACCCGCCAATATGTAATCTTGGGTCATCAGATAACTTTTCTGAGTTTTAATTTTCCATAAAATGGGAATAATAATAATGTCTAACTCGTCAGCTTGTTGTAAAGGTGAAATGAAATAATAAGTGTCTCATTTTAACCAGGTGCCTTGTGATTGGCAAATGGTCACTGCTTGTATGATCATATTGATGGTTAGTACTGGGGGCAAAGATTACATAGTAGAATTTTTAATTGTTTCATCTGTCTTTAGTTCAGCCTCACCATAGAAAGGCCATGCAACAATTATATCTGTTAAATGAGTGAATGAAAAGGAAACCAAGGGGAGACCTTGGCAGCTTTTAAGAAAGTCTGGCCATGAGAAACTCAACCGCATTCTAACCTTGACATTGTCATTCATTCCAATGGCAAATACTGTCACCTCTAAGCAAACACTTACAGCTCACCATCTGCCAGAGATTGCCACTTGGATGTCCAATAGTCCTCTCCAATCCTCCAAGTCCTTTACCAAACGAATCCGCTTTTCCCCATCTCTCCTTCTTAACTTTCCACTTCTGCTGTCCTCCCTCACTCTGTTACCTCCTATCTCCCAGGCTCAAAACTGCCCAATCTGCTTTGACTTCTTCTGTCATCAGTCAACCACAGTCAATTGGTCACCAAGTTCTGCTGATTTGACCTGCTTCCATTTTTCTCACCTGTTTCGTGATCTTCATCCCTATTGCTAACCTTAGACCAGCCCATCTGCGTCTCACTTGACCACTTTAGTGGTTCCCTGATTGGTCTTTCTATTCTTGGATTCTCCCTACTCCATTTCATTTTTCCAAAGCACACCCAGATTTGTCACCTTCTTGCTTCCAAACCTCCGATGGCTCCTGATGCCTATAAAATAAAGCTCAAACATCCTCGACTGACATTTGAGGCCTTCCGTGGTCTACGCCCAATCTGCTCTTTGAATTTCCCCTTTATCCGCTCCATGCTGCATCCAAACTGAAAGGCTGTTAATCTTTATAAAGTGTGTGTTTTCTTGACTATACGCCATCTTACACCTCAATCCCTATACCTCCTTGATCCAAACCCTACCATCCTTGCATGTTTCAAGGAACAATTCAAAAGGCACTTCCGTCCATGAAGCTTCCCTTCTGGAAGTTATCACTCCCAACTCTGCATTCCTATGGCATTTTCCTCTCCCACAGCACCTATCCCTTTCTTCCTTGTATTATAGTTATATATATTTCCTTGTCTTTCATAGCAACTCTTTAAGGGCAAGCAAAGGGTCTTGTCCTCTTTGATTCTTTAGCGCTTAGCTTGGGGCCTGCAATGTGATATGAACTCAGTAACCGATGGACAATGTCATAGATCCAACACAGAGAGCAAAGGCTCTTCTCCATGGGACTGAATTCAGAACTGGAGTAGATGAGCAAGTTCAGAGAGAAGATGCTGCATCCTGTTTTTCACGACGTCAGTGGAGCTAGAGCTGTGGGTCACTGGAGAAGTCGGGGTCAAAAGGCTGAGGGCAAACTTGAGCAGCACCCTGGGGTTTTAGAGCCCAGCAATAGCTACGAGTGGACTGGCTCACAGTTTCCTTGTTAGGATGGCTTTTACAACTCATAACCCCTCTGTAGTATTTCAGATGGCGAGGAGGAGATTCAGACGACTGAGGGATGGTGCGGCCCATTCTTTCTCTGTCTGCCTAGCTTCTGACTTACTGCCACCTCCCTCAGCCTGGGTGGACCCAATGGGGCTGACCCAGGACTGATCGGAGGATCACGCCTCCTTGCTTGCTCTGGCTCTGGTTTCCCTGGACTTGGAGCTCTGGGCATGGGCTGCCCATAGCACTGTGTGTGAGGCCCTCCCCTTCCTCCTGCTGTGCCTTCCTTCCCGCTTATCCTTCCCTTTCCTCCTCCTTTTTTCTCTCTCTCCACGACATAAATAATGCACAGTCCG